GGGCTTTCGGCGTAAAATAAAACGCATAAAGTAAATAGAAATACAAAGATTTAGAGTGGTTTATTTTTAATGTGACAATTTGCCTACTATAGTGCTAGGGTTTTCAGTATTCAAATAGAAGAGTACATAGAATGCCAAGAAGGCAACGAGTAGCAGCAGTAGTGCAATGATAATAAGATGGGCTTGCCCTTGGTGAACCAGATGCATGATTCTGATGAGGTTGGATCATTAATTTGATTTTGAAGCTCTTCCCATTATATCTTGAAAGTGGTAATAATGCCTCTCGGGTTGATTCATGTTCTCCTGATAAGGACGGTGTGAATTTGAAGGAGATTTTCTAAGATAGATAGGTACATCAGAACTTGTAAGATCACTTGAATGGTTAAGAGTAGTCATCATAAAACACATGGGCTAATTAGATTATTATTATCATTTAGTTAGTAGTTATCTTTTATCTTTAAAGGTAGATTAGTCTTTTATCATCTCTAACCTTCTTTTACTCCTCGATTTGATTATTGAATGGGAAAAAAAGACAAGTACCCCTTAGAATGTATGAGATTTAGATTTTTATCACTTACTCTTAATTAGTACCTTTTAGTCAAAGAACTATATTAGTCAAAAAAAGTATTAATCAAGAGTAAAAAATAAAAATTTTAAAAATAGATTCAAATGGTAAGTTCGCCAATTTTCTCTTATTTGAATTCACAACTTTGGTTTTTGTGGCTGCATAGGTATTTTTCACCCCACAACACTCCCGACTACTTTTTTTCATGAATACCATTCATATAATGTGTCCCTACTTAACTATTTTTCAACATTTTGTTCTCTAATATGTTCGTATTAAAATAATTTTTCTTAGTTATATCCCAACTTAAAGTTTTTCTTTGTGTTCCTCAAAAATATTAGGTCAAATTTCATGTTTCCCCTTTCCTCCTCCACCTTCATTCGAAACAGAAACCCTAGCTAGTTCTGCCGGTGAACTCATGTTGCCACCATTCGAAGTAGAGGCCCACACTTGTTCCGCCGGTGGACCTGCGTTGCTCCCCGTCCTTATCCAACTGGTAAGCTTCTTCATGTATTCCTTAATTGCTCCGATGTCCTTCGAGTGTTGTCCGACGACTCCTTTGAGTTCTCCGACGTCCGACTTGAGTTCTCTGACATCTTTCTCGACAAATTTCAATCTTCCATCCATTTTTCTTTTTGTCCTCCTAGCAACCATTCCGGACGAAACTGCTAATGAAGTTTACTCAACAAGGAAGAAGAGCACTACACAAGTGATATTCGAGAGATCACCCACTCTCCTCTCTAAACTCTATGCAACCAAAAAGTTAACTCACCTCTCGAGCCCTTCCTCTTATTTATAGCTCCCCCTACTAACTAACTAAATTCAGTTATCACTAAGAATGCTTCCTCAACAAGATTCCTAAACCATCCACGTCAGCAACTAGCAACTAATCACTAACGTTTCTTGATTCTTATCAGTGTCAAATCCTAATTTAGCCTAATTTACACCCCCTTATTAGTATGTGAATCTCCTTTATGGAAGATGTATTTATAGCCACCGCTCTTATTGACAAGTACTGTAAGGCAGGCAAATTCAGAAGTGTCCGTGAAGTTTTCAGGAAGATTGGTAATAAGAAGCTTGCCTCCTGGAATATGCCATATTTGGCCACGGAAAAGAGGCGGCTTCTCTTTTTGACAAAATGTGCGATGCAGGTCTCCAGCCAGATGCTATAACCTTCACGACGCCCTTTCTGGTTGCAAGAAAGAATTCATGAAGCAGCAAAATACATGTCGTTGATAAGAAGATGCCAGATTTTCCTCCGAGACGGTCTTCGTTTTCACCATATAAACGAAGGAAAGCAATGACTGCTGGTAGGACTTGTTTATATAATAGCTCTTGGAAAGCCTCATCTTACCAGCTATGGCATTTTTGGACGAGTATTTGAATCATAACTAATCCAAATCAATTAATGTGTATTTATGGACTCTACAAGCTGCATTGGCCTGTGAATATTTATTTTTTCCGCGTACAGGAAGAATTTGAAAACATGCATATAATATAGTAAAGGATAGTTAGTGATAATATCTAAGTTGAAAGGAGAAGCTTAAGCTTCATTTTGAACAGCCTCTCTGAACGGAGAGACAAAAGAGCATACTACTTAGGGAAGAAGGTATAAGCTATTTATAATTTGTTCAGAGCTCAAACTGCCAAAAATAATAATAATAATAATAACAACAATAATAATAATAATAATGGTTACATGCGAAACCGAATTTTCATTCTGAGAAAGATATTGGCTAACAAAAACAATGGACTTTTTCACGGGCAAGTTAGAGAGAGATGGGATGGGATTGGGAGGTTAAAATTGAAACCACCTAATTCAGCAAAAAAAAAAAAATATATATATATATATATAAGCCATTAAGAAACTTTTATGGCCTTTGAAATTAGTTAATTCAGCAAATAAATTGAAATCATTTGAGCCATTACAAAGTTTTTATGGCCTTCTTTTATCCATTACCGTCTTCAACTTGACGTTTTTTTAGTCCATTTGGTAATATTTTCAAAATGGTTTTGTTTTTGGTACAAAAATGAAAGTGATTGTTTTGAAAATCATTCTAAAACCGATTCTGAAATTACATTTGGTGGTCTTTCAAGAGATTGATTTGATTATGATAAAAAAAAAATCGTGTTTGGTTATATTTATGTTTGTTTTGAGTACATGTAATTAATAATCTTAAATTAATATATTAAGTGATTAATAATTGATAATTATTTAGCAAATAAAAATTAATATATTAATAATATAATAATAATGGATAAATTATGAGAGTACATTAGTAATTAAACTATATATAATAAATTAATATGCTAAATAAGTAAAAAATAGTAATTAGTAATTAATTATAAGTAACTACTATGCTAGTAATGTACTCATATTTATTAGATTTTAAGTAATTAATTAGTGTATTAAGAAAAATAATTAGTATATACATAATTTATTAATATTCCGTTTACTACTTAACTTATTAACTATTAGTTACATAATTAAATAATTAGTTAACTAATTACTAATATTTATTTAATAACCTATTATTTGATATATCACATGACCAATATAAATTATAAATTATTATTGATTAGTATATTACATATTGATAATTATAATTTAATATTAATTATTAATTGAGTAATTACTATTTATTTTTTATTTATCAACTATTTACTAATTAATAGATTATAATTAACATATGATTGATGTATTAATTATTAATTATTTGTTTAATAACCTATTATTACTTGTTTTATTGTTAATATGCTATATAATTAATTTTTGACAATTAATCTTTAACTAAATAATTAATTACTATATTATTTATTATTTTATTAATAAAATTAAATATTTAATAGCAATAAATTAATATTTAATTAATAATTAAATAGTTACTATCTATTTATTAGTTATTAAGTATATCTATTTATTAATTATTAATTAATATATAATATAATTAGTAATTAATAATTAATTATTTAATATAATTTTGTTAATAAGTACTAGAAAATGAAAACGGAAAGGGGAAAATAACTTTCAATGGTTGTCTACTTTCTTTACAAAAATCATTCTCCTGGTGCGTTTGGAACTTATTTCAAAATGATTTTATTTTTTGTATGAAAATGAAAATGAAAATGTTTTCAATTTCAGACAGAAAATATTCTTGAAAATGCATTTGGTAGTTTTATCAAGAAATTATTTTCAGTATAAAAAAACTCATTAATGACTCTTTCTCTGCTTGAGAGAGGAGAAAAAGAAAATAAAAAATAAAAAATGACTAAAAGTCATTTTTCATTTCTCTCTCATTTTACACTAAACCAAAAAATCGTTTTCATTTTCATTTTTTGTCTTTATTGTGACAAATGTCGTTTTGAAAACGTTTTCATTTTTTATTTCTCAAAAAACGTGAAAAATAAAAAAAAAGATCAATTCCAAGTACGGTCATTATTTTTTATTTTCATTTTTATTTTTAAAAATTTTATTAAACAAACACGATTTATAAACTGTTTTTATTTTTATATCTCAAAAAATATGTGAAAATATTTTCAAAAATAATTCTAAAGGCACCCTTTATTTTTTATTTTTCCTTTTTAGCTTTTGGGGGTACAAGTCAGTTCCGATTACTTTGCGGAACGTGTCACTTGGCAATGGCGCTTACTAGTTCCATTAACTGCACTTTTTTATGCTGAAAACGTCATGCTTATGCAATCTATGATTAATGCTATTTGAAGGGAAGGGTCTCGTGCAACCTATGGACATTATGCTCGTGCAATCTATGATTAGTTTCTAACTCTATTAAGGATTCAGCTCCGGTGTCCGTTTGTTCGTGTTTTATTTCATGTTTATCCAATTATATAATAAAAAATAAATTTAAATGACATGTCAATTTAAATATTATATCAATAAAAAGGTCATATTATCAATTAACGTGATATCTTGAAGAAATAAGAAAAGAGACAAGAAAAAGAGGCGGCGTGAGCTAAATCTCTCTATAAGTAAATAGTTAGCATGTTAACCAATGACGGGAAAAGTAGACAAAATTAGACTCCCTAATACCGTCCAGTCTCCACTCACTTCAAATAGCACTGATCATGACCGTCCATCTCCTTCTTTCTTTACAAGTTGGATCACAATGCTGAGCGGCAAATGCAGGCAGAGAATGGTGCATTGCCAAAGAGGCAAAGACTGATTATAAGGCATGTAGAGGCATCTTTCTTTGTAACCATCACAATCCGTCCTAGTTCTGTAGATAGAAATTCCTACATTTGCTACTAAAGAGACATTACGACTAAATCAAAACTCGACACCCTTGAGTCGGCACCATTACCATATACAATGCAAGAACGAGCAAGGGACAAAAGTAAGAAGCCCTCAAGGGAGAAATTACAAAAAGAAGTGACTTTCATCAGAAATCAGAAACCCAATATAAATAGAAGAACAAAATTAAAGCAATTAAAATAATTTATTAAGATTGCAGTATATACAAAACAAACGACACAAAGCAGCGCTGGTTTTCCCACTGAATATTTCCTGGCCTGCAACCCACAAGATGAAAACCCCAGTCCACAGGTACCACATAAACCACACTATTTACAGATAAAGAGTTATAGAAAAGTTGGTAGCACCATGGCCATGAATATTGTAAGTGATATAAGAACTCCTTATTTTCACTTAAGAAATAGCCTATGTGAACAAGCTCGCCATCGTATGGACATCACGATAAGTAAGAACCCAGCAGCAACCTTTTTTTTTCACGGTGAGATATGCAACGCCAGAGCAGATGAGAAGAGAGTGAAAGGATATCCACAAGACGAAGACATAATCCAGCAGTGTAGCCAAAAACTCCTAAAAAGTGGAGGGACATCCTACCTATCTGTAGACAGCATCTGAGATCAAAAAGCCTAACTGTAGTCATTAACTCCCGTGTCATCCCCCAGATCCATCATTGGTTGATAGGCTCGGTCCTGTCCTGCACAGCCATCCTCTCAGAGACATCAGCCAAAGATTTGAGGTTGCACCTGATCAAGGCCTCAACAAAGTAACATGTCTCGTCCTTGGTGTTTCCATCGGGAACGTCCACCACAAAGGATTCAATAACCAGTGTTCCTGATCTCCCGTCCTCAGTAACCTCAGGATGAACTGTAATAATCGAAGAGTAATTCTGCAATTTGTGGAGCATTGAGAAACATGATTGGAATGCTTTCAGCTGACAACATAATAAGAACTAAAAATAACTGGAGATAGTTTTCATACATTCAACAGAAGAACAACAGCAAATTTCATATTGTTAGTAGTTATGAAACAATTTAAGAGAATATTGCATATCACGTCAGCTACTAGTAGCGAGACGCGACCCTTGGTTGTATCAAGTATCAACAATAGTCAACGTTCTCAATTATATCCTTTGATGATCTATCATGCAAGATATTCTAGAAACTGCTAAATGCAGTCACTAAGGGGAAACACAATAGGCACATCACCATTTATTGGGCCACAAGTGCAAAGAAGATCTTCATCTCAAGCATTATGAAGCACTCACAAGCTAATTGAAGAAACCTATGCACTTTTGGCCCCAACAAAGGCCGAGTGACCATGGCTATTGTTCAAGGCCCGGTGCTATCACTCATCAAGAACCTCCAACCTCGGTCATTTTCATACCTTCGCACTGCACATCACATTTATACATGTGATGTCAACTTCTACTAATGATACAGAGAGCAAAAGGGCAAATCACCGAAGTAATCACAGTTTCTAAGATTCTCAGGAAGACTTCAGTTTGCAAGTTGTAGTTAACTCTGTATCTTCACGAGCACATTCCTCACATGTTTAAAGCATCACAGAAATGCACTTTACGTTCATTGTGGAAATCTCAAATCTAGTAAAAGAGCACTAACCAATAACAAAAAAGAAGAAATGAAGAGAGTGAATACCCTTAGCCTGTGATCGCCACCAACAATCTTGACGCCGAGAATGTGCTCCTCGTCGTCGAGAAACTCCAATCTCTCGGTGCTGGTCGTAGCAGGAAGCCCAGATTTAACATTGACTTCTCTAACACTCCCAATTCCAAGGTCCCCCTTCACGATGCACCGGCTAACAAAGGGTTTGTACTTCTGGGGTTGATCAAATCTCCTTACCAGTGACCATACCTAATGAGAAAAGTATAATTGCATTATAAAAAAATTGCTTATAACACAGAATCAAAACTGAGAAAAAAAGGGCAATCCATAAATTTCTTCTAGATCTCCTCCACAACACTTCCAATTCCCAGTATCATTGCTAAAAAATTAAAAAAAAAATTGATTAAATGACATGTTTTTCTTCTCATCTTAGATAAAGCACGCATAAAATCATGGAAAAAAAAAAAGTTACTATTTTTGCTTCCAATTCTTCGCATCTTTACCAGCAACAAAACCACAATGAGAATTAATCCAATTATTACCATAATCAGCTTTCCAAATTAAACTAGTCTAATATCTACCAAAAATCACATTATCCTACCCAAAATAGAAAATCCGTTGACTTTGACAACCGAAAAACCTTTGTTGGTGAGATGAAGAAAAAATCCATCAAGTACAATTTTCCTAAAATCTACCAAAATTGAACCAAAAAGAAAACCTAGATAGAAGAAAACGGCGGAAACGAAAAGAAAGCGGTCCAAATCGAGCCGAATTCCGCGGATCTCGAGAGAACAACAAAGTCAAACAAGAAAATTTCAAAACTCCAAAAAGTCAGATGAATCAACGACTTCCAGCGCCCGAAAACACAAAAACAAGAAAAAAAAATAGAGCGATCGTACGGTACAGAGAGAAGAGAAGAGAAGAGAAGAGAAGAGAGAGAAGTAAGAAGAACGTACGAGCTGAACAGGGGCTTTGATGTGCTTGACCAAGGCGGAGGTACACTGGTTCTCTCTGGTCTGGTGCCTGTGGTGCCTACGGATGTACTGAACCTCCATTGCTCCGTATGAATCGCCAACAAAGTTCATTTCTTTATCTTTCTCTCTCTAGACTCCCTTTCTCTCTCTAAAAATAAGGATCAGAGAGCATTCGGAGACCGAGGACTCTTCCAGACGGGCGGGGATAAATTAAAGCCTACCTCTTCCCCTTTGTTGCAGCCAGCGACCTCCCCAGCAAAATAAAATTAAATAAATAAATAAACAAAATAAAATAAAAGCCTGTAATTCTAAGAAAAGAAAAAAATAATAGTAGTAAATAAATCTAAGCTTAATATAGAGTAGCTTCGCAGGCTATCCAAAATCCATGAATTCCACCGACAATGTTATTTTTTTTATTTTTTATTTTTTTAATGTTGCGCGTGAAAAGTCCAAAAGCCTGCTCTTGGGGCCCACTTATTTGGCTTGGCTAGAAGCCTAGATAATTTATAAATAAACTACCTTATCTTTCTCTTTTTTTATTATTTTTTCCGGAGATTTGTTTAGCGTTACTGGAGGGTGATTGTGGTTTTTGTCACAGCCTTTCTACACCGTTTGTTCTTGGGGTCATGGGTAGTGGTTCCTTTTTTCTTAGTGGGGGGTGACTTATGAGGTGCTGGCCCACTGCCTGTGAAGAGCACTGAGCTTTTTGTGAGTGGATGGATTTCTTTTGTTTTGAGTCAGAATTTGGTGAAGTGCTAGATGATGCTAGAATGATTCTCATTACACGAAAAAAAATATATAAAAAGTTAAAAAATTTGAGAGTAAATTCTCTGCGAGTTTCTACTATTGAAAAACCTACTCCGACAATGAAAGGATTTGGCCGACCGATAAAACAAAACGACGTGCTCTTGAAATCTTCATTTTATTTTATGGGAATCCTTATCGTGGGAAAGAGTTTTTAATTATTGAATTAGTTTTTTTTTTAATGGATAGATATGTGTAGGTTTTTATTAAAAATTTAAGACGCGTCACACAAAATTATTCTTACGTCAATTTGAGTATTAAAAAATTAATTAAACATTAAAAGTAAAATAACTTACTCCAACGTAAAAGCCGCCTTATTTGATTAATTATTGGTTGGTTTTAATTGTTTAAAAGTGGTTGTTGTTGATGGCATGGCAGAAATGTTTTCCTAAATAAGCACTTTCTTTTTTATAATGTTTCTTTATTGATAGAGTCGGTTTCTAATTATTAAATTTAATTAAAATCACATTAAATTAAAAAGTATATAAAATAAGCATATTCTCAACCTCTATGGGTCCATGTTAAAGAAGGATAAGGATATTATTTAGCATATTTCCAATTCATGAATTTTTTATTTATTTTTTGTAAAAATGTCATAAATGTAGTTCTTAATGTGACGGTTGTTGGTGCAACTTGCTGGTTCATTGGCTGGGAAATTTATTTATTAATTTATCAAGATGCCTAATATGGGTAAGAACTTTTATGGTCTCCAAGTCTTCGGCAACTACTGCTTTGAATTTAGACACAAAAAAAATCAAACTATATCCTCTTTTATTGATTTCCATTTTCTGATCTAACCTATCACGACATTGAGCCAATAATGTGATAGCAATACTCAGTGGACCAGTGGTTATCAAAAACTTTTTATTTTTAATTTTTTTTTTTTTTGGCTCAATAATGGTTATCGACAACTTAATTCCTAAACGAAACCACAGAAAAAATATAATAAAATAAAATTTGACTAAATTTTTTTTTCTCTTTACTTCTGGAATATGGATTGAAACTATTGAAGATTTTGTCTATTAATGATAGAGGTTTAGTTCACTGATTTGAGTTTTTAATTTGAATTAAGATGTGACTTTATGTGAAAATTTTTTATTGTAATAAAAAAGTGAGATGTGACTGTTTCTGAAAACTTTTTACTGTAATAAAATTTAAATTTTAAACTCAACTTGGTGAAACGAACATGACCGTAAAAGATTTTAGAGTTGTTCTTTTGTAACAAAACTCATAAAAAATTTAAACTCAAGTTATAATTTTATTCAAGTTCACGTTCTTTTAAGTTTCAATTTTATTTAATTTTACTCAACTTTATTCAAGTTATAACTTCAACTCAAATTATAACTCAAATTTAATTAGAAAACTATACTCAAATTACACTTAAATTATACTCCAAACTAACATGCCCTTCATAACTCAAGATAAGCCCACTTTCCTAACTTTCTTTCAGTCTGAATGGACCAGATTCAACCTTACCAGTCACAAAAGACGATAAATATTTCACTTGCATTTTTACTGTTTTTCTTTTTGTTGTTTCTCTTTCTTTGTCTATTCAACAAATGACATCTTGCTTTAAAAAAAAAAAGTTCAAATGATATCAACGGTGGCTGGACAGCCACGTGCTGGGTTCATAGTGGATGGAAACCATGTAGTTGGGGTGATTGTAATAGGATGATATGGCATCAAACTATTTATCCAAGGTTTAAAAAGAAAAAGAAAAAAAAAAGGAAAAACAACTTAAGTATAGAGTGCTAGTAAGGAGTTCAAATACAGATTTTATTCTATCTTCGGTTGTCCCTTCAATTAAATATCAAAATAGTGTTAAAATTTCCATGTCAACTAGTAAAAGCGTTTTTTTTTTTTTTTTTTTTTTGAAGGTTTACTAAAAGAGGTACTAGAGTTACATTGTTAATGACATCAAATAATAATAGGTAAAACAAAAATAGTAGAAAATATGTCAATATGAAAAGCTTAAGAAAGTATATAGGTTAACTTTTAGTTATAGAAATTAATAGACCATAACTTGTCAAGTTATAGTTCATAACCAGATAAATTATGGACAAACTTGTCAAGGTATGATTCATAGTCAGACAAGTTATAGATAAAAATTGTGATTTTATTGACAATAACTTGTCAAGTTATGGTTCATAACAAAACAAGTTATGGACAAAAATAGTAATTTGACCTATTTATTAACTTATGTAAACTGTTGGCTTATTAATTTTAATTCATTTCAAGTCTTGGTCTATTTTCTTCTTTCTCCCTAGGTAAAAAGAGGTCGGATCTCTTGAATGGGACCATCGGAGAAGTCTCGTGCTTGATGAGCCATAACAACAAACAATAGTTTTCAAGCTTTTCTGTAGTTCATGTTGTTGAGTGTCGACAAAAACTAGTAAGCTGCTATGTAAAATATGAATGTGATGCTAATATTTAAGTGGGATAGACAACAAAATAGAGACTTCAGATTTTTACTTTAAAAGAAAATTCTACTAACATTGATATATACGGACCACTGAGATTTTTATGAAGTTTTCATTATATTTTATACTTTTTTTTTATTCTAATGTTATTTTAATTTGTAATCAACAATTACAAATAATGTGGTGTCAATAAGGTTTTTTTATTCCATACCTTACTAAAAGATTTCTTTCATTTGTTCCGTCCTTTTAATTTGATTTGTACCCCACGATTGCAAATTCCAATCCTTAATTTGAGATCTTCATCTCTAGTGTGAAAAGATGGATATAGTTATCAAGGGACTTTTTCTAACCTAAAGAAAATTATTTTTAATTGTCATTCACCGACCAAGAAAAAAAAAATCAAAAGATAACCACAAAGGATTAAATATCCAAAGAGTACTGCTTTTCAAGCGTAGCGTATCAAACCTAACCATGTTTTAGTTACTTTAACAAATTCTTCTAGATGTGTGACCTGTAAAATTTATCCTAAACCTACAAGTGGACAAAATAATTTGGCGTGTTATATAGTTCTTATTTTGGGGATGATTTTTTTGTTTTTTTGTTTTTTTTTTGTTTTTACCCTTTTTTCATTTCTATTACACGCCAAATTATTTTTACCCTTTTATGAACAAGTAAAATGTTAAAGAGTACTTAAAAATCATGTTTGTCTTGTTCATAACAAGGGCATCACATATTTAAATATACCTTAAGCTCGGTTTTACTCAACAATCATGCCCCAATTAACAAAGCAATTTGCAAGCATTTTCAACTTGGCAGTTCAACTTGGCATATTGATAATTATTTATAAATAGAGACAGGTGTATGAAAGTTTGAAATTTTGCAAATCACCACCCATTTCCGTATTTTAATTTTTTATTCTTTTTCCTTCTTCGATGCTCGAGCCTATATCATATGCTAATGCTATTGTATGGGCAATCCGATTTTTCTTTGGACGTCATGTGGGGTGCACTTTAAGGATCTGTTTATTTCACTGATTCGAGTTGAGATGTAATTTTATGTGAAAGTTTTTTACTGTAGTAAAAAAGTTAGATGTGACTGTTTCTGAGAACTTTTTACTGTAGCAAAACTCAAATTCTAAACTCGAATCGGTAAAGTGAACGATGCCTAAGCATGTTAATTGTTAATGAATTACTTTTTTTATTGTTGCAATGCAATAGTGTTTGATCCACCAACAAAATAAGAATCTTATTCTAAGATCGAAAGATGGCTTGAGCCATACACATGAAGACGAGTCAAATTTATTTGAACCCTAATACTAAAGAATCCTACAACTACATGTTAGAGAGAGAGAGAGAGAGAGAGAACTACTACATGTTCTTTGGCAGCATTCGAGTTTGGTTTTTGAGTTAGGTCCAATAAATAAATTAAAAAAAAAAAGTGGTAGAATACTTTTTTGTCTTTGGGGTCCGAATGTAGAAAGATATCAATGTGTCTTTATCGCGGTAAGTGCAGTTAGATTCGACTTTTATGCCATGTTCAATGTTCCAATGTCGTTTTCTTTGAATAAACTAGGAAACCACTTGTAGGATGTTGAAATTGAAGCGGCTAGTAGCAAGTATTTAGCAACTTTATATGGAAATGGTGCCTTAGGAAGTAATTTTCTTATAGCTTTGTAAATCTGGCACGAAAAATATACGTGTTTGCAGGAAAAGGGTGTTTGTGTTCTTTCGTTTGATGGGCAACAATTACCGCGGAAAAAAGTTAGAAAATTTTTATAACAAATTTGTCTGAAAAGATAGCTAATTAGTAATATATAGTTTTGAACCGTTAAAATTTATTATCATGTAATTTAACGGTTTAAAATTAATCATATTGATAATGAATTTTTTGATACTATCACAAAATTCTCCCAACGTCAATTATTGAAAAGACGCAATCTTTGTTGGAAATAAACATCAAACCATAAAATAAAAGGATAAAGTATCGCTTACTTGGCCAGTTGGTTACTTTTCATATGATTCTAAAATTGATATCTTCTTATCAAATATCAATTCAGATTATATATGCTCCACTAGTATTCTCACTTCTCAATGGAGAACAACAT